CACAGAAAATCAGAAGATGCAAAGAGAGAATAGGCTGGTCTTAAAAGGGGACTCCTTACACTCCTAACTCTGATCACAGACAAGAAATATGTTCTAAGTGCTCTGTAGATTTTTTTGATGAATGTTTTATGCTTGCATTTAAACTTGAACTGTATGAGCAGAATGAGACACTCTTTACAATCAAAATTGAGAAGTGTTACAATTGAATGACCTTGTGCTGTAGCAATAAAATGACCAAGTGCAATGGCTTTAATAAAATCATCTTTCAAAAAAAAAAGAAGAAGAAGAAGAAGAACTATAGGCTGGCTCAGTGGTTAAGAGCACTGACTGCTCTTCTGGAAGTCCTGAGTTCAATTCCCAGAAACCACATGGTGGCTTACAATCATCTGTAATGGGATCCAATGCCCTCTTCTGGTGTGTCTGAAGACAGCTAACAGTGTACTCATATAAATAAAATAAATATATAAATTAAAAAAAAGAACTATATCTTATAGATACAGTATCTCTTAAATGGACAGTGTGGACATACATGTAAATTCTATGAATACCAGGTAGTCATCCTTTGAATTTACATTGGGATAAAGAGCTCCTGCAGACAACTATATTCCTTTTATTATACATCAGTCACTGATCTCATTCACAAGATATTTTTATTATTAATAATATTAAAATTAATATTAAAATATTTTAAAAACAAATATCAAATTTTAAAAGATTTATTGTTTTATTGTGTGTGTGTGTGTGTGTATGTGTGTGTGTGGGTGTTTGCTTTTGAGTTTTGAGTGCAGGTATGTGGGAAGGTCCTAAGTGGGTGTCATTCCCTGGAGTTTGAGTTGTAGGCAGTTGTACAAGGTCCCTATAGGCACTGGGGACTGAACCCAGGTCCTCTACAAGAGCAACACATGCTATCAATCATTCACTCAGCCTCCTCAATATATCTGGCCTAATAGCGCAGCCCTCTGGGGGAGGCTGAGGCAGGAGAATAACAAGTTGGGGTTTATATGGGGCCACAGAGTTAGTTCAAAACCAGCTTGGATAACTTAGTGAAGCCTTGTTTCAAATAAAAGGATGAAAATGGCACCCTGGGAGTGGAGGTATAGCTCAAGGGTACAAATTTGCCTAGCATGTACAAGACCCCAAGTTCATTCCCCAACACTGCCAAAAAAGTATTTAAACTAATCAGTATCCACTGCTTAGAACTAAAGTAGTAAGTTACAAATATTATATAGTAAGAAATTATAGAAACATGGACCATAGTCCTGCCCTAGGTACATATCCTGTGGTCATAAAATACTTCTTAGGACAAGTACTTATGTGATACTCACAGAATGTGGCTTGCTCTGTCAGGCCAGAAGCCACAGTGCTAATAAAATATACCAGACTCTTATTTGGGTTTGAATCAAAGTCCCCAGGGTCAGAGTAGCAATCTTTATGATAGACATTCAAAATTTCCCCCAGTGCTAATGAAGAAGATCAGTTCATATGAAACAAGCCACACACTTATCAATAAGAGAACAGTTTATTATTGTTTTTCCCTTAATGAAGCCATTAAGGTACAGAGTCTACTACAGAAGCTTCAAGTTTAAATACAAAACACAAAGTTACATAACATTTGGGACTTGTCTTTAACGTGTGGTTCCAGAGAGATACTACCTGCTCAAAGAAGAGATCAAGTCAGTTTGGATAAAGCTCCAGACTGTGTTTAACTTTTTAAATGTGGTTATAAATAGCCTCTCCCATGGCAGATACCAAGGGGCGAACTCCACCTTTGACTTCAGAAAGGATAGAGCAACATCAAGAGCTAAAATTAAAGTAATACTTGAGGCTGTCATCATTTCAAAACTTATTCTGATGGGTTATTTGCTAATAGGAACCACAGTAGTACAGCCGAGACTGAGGCTCTAGGAGAAGAGAGACAAGCAATGACTAGAAAACCACAGAAACAGGGGGTGAGAGTAAACATGAAGCCACGATATGGTTAATAGTTATAGTGTGAATAAAGGAATAAAAGGAGAATCAAGATCTGAAACAGCCTAGGTCAGGAGTGCATACTGCCCCAATGACAGGGAGAGTGAAGGATGAATCTCTATGTACTTGTCTCTGTCCCAGCTATGAAGATCTAACCACACAGCTTAAGCTGTGGTCCACTGTGCCTGAGAATGGCCATAGCTATGTGACAATATACTCCAGGGATGCTGAAGTTTGAAATTTGTATTTCCAAAATACTATTATCCTTTTTAAAGTTTCCAGTCACTTAAAAATGTAGACACCACTCCCAGCTTCCAAGCCATATCGAAACCATCAGGTGGCTACATTTGGCCGAAAAGGCAACTGTTGATTGAGTCAATACAACATCAGCCTACATGTAGCAGACCAAGTAACACAGGTGTGAGAACGAATTCAATTGTGTTGTTAAATGAAGCCTTAAACACTTAACCCATATGGTTAACAAAAGCCACTTGGTTCTCTCTGCCATCCATTGACCATAAGAAATGTTAACAGTTTTTGTTATTATATTTACAGATTTATTATTGTGTGTGTGACATGTATGTGACTCTCTGTCTCTCTGTCTCTGTCTCTGTGTGTGTGCGCACACATACATGTGCATCTAGACTTCTAGACATGAGTTTGTTTCCTACAATGAGAGAAAAGAGAAGAATTTTCTGGAGTTGGTTCTCTCCTCCTATCATGTGGATCTGGGTATTGAACTCAGGATGTCAGGCTTGGTGGCAAGCCTCTTTTTCATCCAGTGAGGTGCTTATCTTATGACTCAAATAGAATCAGCACATGCTGAAGAGGACTCTGCAATATTTAGGCTTCTTTTCAAATTATTTTTTTTCCAGTGGAAAGGGCCACAATAATGGAAGCAGACACTTCATGTGAACAGATTACACATCGGAGGCTTGGGGTACAGCTCAGTGGTAGATGGAGCATTTATCTAACATGCAAGTAGCCCCATCCTTACCGATGTACAGTATACAGAAAGGCACAGACTCCATCAAATGAGAAGACAGATGTGATATCAGCAGTGACTGTGTTTACATGGACAGATCTACCAGATCTAACTCTCCACCACCTCAGATTCTCTGAACACTAGTAGACACACGGGGCAATGACAAGGGCAGGCTCAACCAGTCTCAGGGCAAGGACTCTGCTTGGGGAGGAACAGCCATGTTCCTATGTTATCAATCACAAATAAGAGGAGAAGTGAAACTTAGAGTATTGGTAATCAAGTAGCTCCTGAGGCAGCAGTGACAGACAAATTCTCAAGAGAAAGGGAAAGCCAGCAAAGGAGAAGGTGATCTGGGCACCAAACAAGACTTGGCAAGCTTCAGAAGCCTCAAAAAGCCACAGTACTAAAGAGATTAGGGTTCCTGACTTGGAAATTATAAGGAATTAAGGGAAGGAAAGGAAAGACCATGGTGGTCATCATAATTGTTAAAGCTTATTAAGAACAACATTAGATTCTACCTCATGCTTTGAAGGTGCCTTTACAAGATTACACACAAAATCTAATTACCGCTGCATGTAGGCACATTAATGAAAAGCTCTATATTCATCTATTTCTTAAAAAAGAAAACCAAAAAAAAAAACATGTGCTTTATCTGAAAACTAAATTTCAATAATAGGTTTTTAGCAGTTTGAGTCCTAAATGGCACATTCATCTGCCAATTTCAATAGTGACTCTGCAAATTTAAACCTTTAAAAGGACTGCCAAGGTCACATCCTGAAAAGAGAGTCCCCATAAAATAAACAGGCAATGCTGTGACTAGTCCAGTCATTCTCCTTCTACTCTTCTCTCTCTCTCAAATAAAAGAAGAAAAGAAAGAAAAGAATTCTGACTGATGCTTAGTGATGTAAGTAGCTTCTACTTAGCATGAAATTCACTTCTCTGTAGGGGAGAGAAAGATACATCCAAGCATCCTCCAAATGTTTTCAGGATCATGATTTCCCAGGACAAGAGAGCACCTGAGGCTTTGAGGCTGAGAAAGGAAGTATGCTTCAAGGTGCTAGAGTTCCATCCTTGACATGTGATTCCAGAAGAGATATCCAACTGTTCCCACATCTGCTGCTTGAGAAAGGATCATCTGGATGATGTCCACTAATTCAGTTACAATATACCCAAAGATACAGAGAGTGGACGGTAACTAGTCTTTGAGAGATGCAAGGTTAAACTCCTGTAACCAGTCTTCTAATTTACACCACCCTCCCCAGTTGACCAGCCAAGAACAGCACTCAGAGTCAGACATGGGCTTTTACTCAACCAGTATCCAGTGACAATGTTCTCTGAGTATGAAGACTCTTGAGCCACCCACCCCTATTTCAGAAAGAACACTGAAGAGCGAGGGCAAACCTGATGGCATCCATGGGTCAGAGGTCGGTTTGGTCAGGGTGTTCACTTGCTCCCAGTTGAAGTCATCATCCTCAGCTTGACTATATCCACATGTGCTGTATGGCTCATCAAAGAGACAGCCACCTACAAGGGAAGGCAGAGAGGTGATATAAGTTACAACCAGAAGACTTAAACAACCATCTACTTGACACGGAATTGTGATTTGAGGTTTTCGCTTGGGAACTGGGGAATTTTGAACAATGTTGCTCGATAGTAACAATGCCTTACCAATACAGATACATCTGTTACTCTCTAGTAGAAGTCTAATATTGGTAAAGAACAATTGAAATCACCAGATTTAAAATTCACATTTTCTTGATGAATGCTGCACTTAGAGAATTCACCTTGCTTTCAAAACTTTAATAGGATTCCCCTCACAGACTCAACATGTTTTCGATAGAAAAATATAATTTATTAAAAAATTAAAACAAGAAATTGTTTTCCCCAAAACACCAGTGTGAGAGTAGAAGACAGGGCATACCACAAATGATGAGGGTGGCCTGCAAAATACCCTTCTATACCTTACATGGAAGCAGGTCTTAGCCTGTGGTTTAGGAAATCTGAGGACCCATCATCAAAAAATAGATCATGAAGTCACTTCATAGTCTACGCAAGTCTTAGTGGCAGAAATTTCAAGACTAAACATCTGCTTAATCTTGGTACACTGAATGAATCTATTTAAGTAAGAAGATATAAAAGGCAGTATCCACATGCTCAGAAGATCAGCTGCTTTGGAGTCAATGCCACTCAGGGCACTGAAAGTTTCCAGTCCCACCCTACAGACTTCTAGATGCCTGTTACCTTCCATTACTTACAGGGATGGATCTTTGTCCAAATGATTCACAGAGGACAGTGAATGATGATACCCATCCCAGCGACGATCATGAAACACCCTGCTATCCATTACATAGTGAATAGTATACATTACATAATCAGCTGCATAATAAATGAATCCTATTCATTCAAAATATTAATTATAATTGCTGGCAGTTGGGAAGAAGTGAGGACTTATGACAAGGTGCAGCTTTAGGACTCTTATGGTTCTGTGCCTGTCATGTACCCCTTACAGGCAGAAGGCAAGGAAAACTGCGGTTAAAAACCAGAGACAAAACGAATTTTAAAAGTCATCTGACTCAACTTTTAACCCACCCCACCCCCATCCCTCCAAAAAAAAAAAAAACTCTAAACCAATCCTATGCCGACAGCGACAGCTAGTCTCAGAAGACATGAGAGAAACTGCATGTTTTGTATGTAGAAAACTCTCAGAACATTCTGAGAAATTCTAGTCCCCACTCTGCTTCTTAAAGGTGCATCCATTTGTCTTTCTTCTACCCCACAAGGTCCACAAGGCAATAGTAAAATTCCCAGCCCTGGCACAGAAAAACTGACAATTTGAAAGGCACTGTCATGTGCTGTATCTTAGCTTCCTCCGGCAATACATGCTCTGCTCTCCCTAATTCCTCCTGGGAGGCTTCAGACCTGTCAGTATCCTGGCAGGTGTTCTCTGAATGGTATCCCAAAGAATGGCACCCTGTGCTAGAGCAGAATCCAGCTGTCTTCTACCCTTGACCTCACTCTAACAACAGGCTGGACAAGAGCTCTGGTCCATCCTGAGCTCAAAGAACACTCCTTCCCACACTTGCCATCAAGGTTTTTTCCTTTTGTGAGTGTGTGTGTGTGTGTATGTGTGTTCTCTCTGAATGCACAGGACAATCTGCTTATCCTTACCAAATCCATCACTTTTCCACTCCAGCCCTTGGGCAGCCTTGACAGTCCTGCCCCTGACATTTGGGAATTAGTATACATATACACATACACATATACATCATATACATATATTACAGAATAATCAAAATTACTCACAAAATCCAAAACATTCTTGAATGTGAAACTTCTTGCTCACTGACGTAGCTCAACAAGTTCAAATACTTCCACACCTGGGATCAGGTGATGGAGTCAAGATCAAAAGGCCAATGCACAGAAAATAATGCAAAAATCATCATCATCAGGCTGTATGTGCGGGCCTATGAGATGAGCAGATTCTGTGTTTAGAGCTCAGCTGCATCCCCTGGAGCTCACCTTGTTATATACCCAAGCGTTTCAAACGCTCCTGAACCCACAACATTTCTGGTTCCTAGCAGTTTTGGAAAAAGGCTACTCCTCCCGCATCTTAAGATATCATGAGCACTCTGTCCAAATGTGACTGCATGTGCAGGACAATGCTAGACAGGAGTGAGTCAAACACCTCAGGTTGTCCCAAACAGCCCTCTAAGATTTTTAGCTCGGTCAGCAGCCCTAGAGTGAAATCAGTATGCTATCTTCTGAATGCTTTCAATACGTATAGTCTCAACTAAGCCTTCCCTGGGGAACACTGAGCTCATTATCAAAGGTACAGGATTAAAGTCAAAGTTCAATCCTGGCAACAGATGATCATCATGTGTCCCTCCTCCTTTCAGTTTTACTGAGTTCTGGAACAAAGTGGATCTGTCCAGCACCGGATGCTAATGACATTCTGATACTAGCTAGATGTTCAGAGACTATGTAACCATTGGGGGCGGTGGGGGGGCTCTTCTGTTGTAACAAGGAGAATAGTTTCAATACTGAAGAAGAAACCAAACAGCACAAGTAACAGTAAAGAAGAGGAACCTCCTGGGACAACACAGGCAGGATACTGACAAACTCCTTTATCAAGATCTTAAACAAAAGGAACAGTAGAAGTGTCCTCAAGGCAACTTAAGTCTGGTTGAGGATTTGTTCTTCAAAATGACTGTTGGCACTGAAGACATAACCAGATGCTGAAGTGAGGATGGATACAGGGAAACCACAGAGCAGCGTGCTACCAGTGTGAGCACAGTAACCCTTTACACAGTGTAGTTCTGACCGCTTGAAATTAAACATGAGAGGGAAAATAGATCTTTCTGGGAGGATGCATGATCGTCAAACCCCTTGAAGACAAACTCCGCTGTACATTTCCTGTTGCCTTAAGATATGTTGCCTTGCATACACTCTTTATCAGTGAGAGCTCATGATAGCAGAGATGATTTATTGAACTAAAACAGGAAGAGACAAAAGGAAATGATGTCAGAATTGAAATAAAAAAGAAAATCCCAGTTCCTGTGAGCCTGAGGCAAGAGGGTTACAAGTAAGAGGTCAGCCTGGCGTGTGCATGGCAGGTTTGAGACGAGACACGGATACAGAGCAAGACTCTACCTCAAAAAACAACAGACCAGACAGGAAAGGGGAGAGGAGGGGAGGGGAAAGGAGGAGAGGGGAGGAGAGAGGAGGGAAGGGGGGGCACTGTGTTTCCTTAAATTCAATGCAGAATTGGCATACAATAATGTTACCAGAAAAATTTAAACTAAGTATGGCATAATATCCTCCTAAACAATAAAAACTATCTTAATCCAAGTGAGCCTGATTCAAGTAGATCTCCAAGTGACGTGGCTAGAAACTTGACTTTGGGGCTCAATATTTTCACTTTTTATTATGGCTTAAAACTATAAGCCAGTTAAATGTTAATGAACTCTCTACAAACTGTGGCTCTCCAACATTCTTTTATTCTGGCGATAATTAGGTAGCAAGCCTAGTTGTCTAGAAAGGTCACTCCTGATTTATGAAAATAAAATAATGCCATTTGCATACTGGAGGGAATTTATCTTGCCTCTTTCTCTGGGGTAGCACAAATGGCCCATTTCACCAGCAGTAACAGAAAATAATTACCCCATAAGGTATAAAGAAGGTAGCCTACTTTTACTCCAGAAAGACATTTAGAAGGTTTCATATCCATCTGAATCATTGTGGCAGATAGACAACAGAGCCAAAATAAACTGCCACGGGCTGTAGTCAGAAGTTGTTTTGCAAGACTGGTAAGATGGCTCAGAGGATAAAGGAGCATGCAGTACAAGCCAGGCAACCCAAGTTCAATCCCTGGAACCTGCTTAAAGGCAGATAGAATAAAGTGATTTTATAAAGTTATCCTTTCACATACACGTGCATGCTGTGCTCACAAATATGTATCAGGCTCACACAGGCATGAATTATTAATATATTTACTTATTGGGATGGGAGAGGTTGCTTGGCAGTTAAAAGTCCCTGTTGCTTGTCTAGAGGACCTGAGTTCAGTTGCCAGTCCCATATGGCAGCTCACAACCACCTGCAACTCCAGGTCCGGGGATCTGATGCCCTCTTCTGGCCTCTGTGGACACCTGCACGAAAGCGGCACATACGTAGAAATGAATCTCAAAATAAACTTCCTCTGACTGTATCCTGTAGTCATGGTCCCTGGATCCAGCTCACCTCTACGTGCATTTTGAAACCAAATCACCCTCTGCTTACGCTCGGAATCATCTCCACCCTGATCTCCTCAGCTTTGTGAACAGCAGCCCAGACCTATTCACTTCATCCCAGAGGGAGCCAAATATGCTATCAAAGCCTCTACGGTTTGAAGCAGACTCTATTACCTGAAGCTGACTGGATAGGTTGAAGTTTCAAGGCAATACGCAGTCTGTGAGAGTTCGTCCAAGCTGGCCAGAGAGCAGCCTGTGATGTCCAACATCCTCTACCAGTTACAAGCACCAATTCCTCAAAGTGGGCAAATGCCTGCTACAGTCTAAGAGCAATGTTTTTGTGTCTATTCCTCAAATCCAGTGTGACTCTTTTGTCTCAATATATTGGATTCAAAGAACTCATCTTAGAACATGAAATACAGGTGCATTTAATCTCCTCTGGTTTAACTGGGTTTTTTTGTTGTTGTTTTTTTCTGAAATCCTAGAGGCAAGCACCAGTAGCTTTCAAATTTCTGTGCCAGGCATCAGCTTTGACTACAGTTAACATTGCTTACTCTGTGAAGTGCCTATCCTGTCTAGACCATGGTACTCAATCTGTGGGTCGCAATCCATTTGGGGGGGGGTCAAATGACCCTTCCACAGGAGTCACCTAAAACCACCAGAAAGCACAAATATTTACATTATGATTCATAACAGTAGCAAATTACAGTTGTGAAGTAGCAACGAAAATAATTTTATGCTTGGAGGTCACCTACAACATGAAGACATGTATTAAAAGGTCACAGTGTTAAGAGGATT